TCAAAGACGGTAGAATAGTAGAAGATAGGGCATTAGGAATTTATCCGAATAGTGTGTACGCTCTGTACACTTTTATATGACGTCATTGGCTTTAGTATTGGTTTTAAATTCAAACAATCAACATTAAAACTCTAGTTATCAAATAAATTAATCATTGTGGGTGCTAAAAATGGTGGGAAAATAATGACACGGATATAAACTTCTAAATTTGTTTTAATCAGTGATATGATTGGATGCTCTCCTGCTAAAATAAAGCTAAAATTGTGATTTTGTTACGCATCTCATTTGTATGAAAAATACCACATATTTTAAAACAAAATTTGTTAGCATGTCATTAAGTATAGTTTTGTTATAGTCTAAAGCAGAATTGTATGCCAGTAACGTGAGCAAAGCCCGAAAAAACCTTGGTTTTAAGTAGCCAAATTTTTTAAACCAATTACATTGCAATCTGTTTTAAAATTTAAAGTTTATCTAAAAAGATAATAAAGTTATGCATTTCTAACGGCAAATTATGTAAAAAACGCAAGTTTTTGGTGATGGAAATGCTTAAAAAGTCCTAAAATCTTTTTAAATTATAGAAAAGACGACATTCTTTGGCTTCTTATGGGACCCAATTGAGGCGTCTGGTTTTGCTTATAAATCCCAATGCCTACTCTTTATATTACAAAGCTCTTTGGTCTGTCCTATATATTGTAGTTTACACTGCTCACATGTCTTTAATACCATTTATAACAAATTAAATTTTTCTCAAAATCTACAAATAATGAATGAAGAAAGTAAACCAGAACATTTTAAAGATTGGCTAAATTTAATATAAAATTGTGGTTAATGAAAATCAGATAAAATATCAAATTCAAATATTATCCCTAGCTCGACTGGGTTTGAGAAATTGATAAAAAGATTTTTTTCTTTAAAAAAAGAGAGTTCGAGAATGGGAACTGCAAACATTTAACAATTAGACAAAATTTAGACATTTTTTCATAAATATAAACAAACAACTAAACTGGAATGTACTGCAGCATACAATTCTATGGTTACAATCAATATTCAGTGTCTATCTAACTATATCTATACTAATATTCAAATATTAACATGTTTAACCACCCCCAAGAAATACGATTACTCTATATATATAGCAAATAACCTGAGCATAACTAGATATGATAAACCATGCATTGTAATTAGATTGACTGCGGTTATATGGAACTCGATTGAATTAGAGCTTAACGAAACTAAATCTACAAATAAATAGTGGGCCAACCAATTAAAATAACCTACTCTGGTTAGGCGGGTCCAAACTACATAGTAAATTGTGATTTTACTTGTCTCGTGCATTGTAGTTGAATAGAAATATGAAATATGAAATATCTATTCATGTTAATCCTTTAAATATGTTGATTCAACTTAGATTACGCTGTAAACATGTGTGGAGATAGCTTAACTATGTTATATCTATCCTGGCTAATCTTGTAAATATGTACAATAAACTTTAACTGTGCGTTAGATACATAATATGATTCTCTTAATCATTTGATATAGATAACTGCATAGTAAATGTAATTACGTCAATTCACGTTAACTGTAATATAAGATATCTAAATAAAGTTAGTTTATATCTTGGTCTATTTTATTGCGTGAGGGTTTACAAATTCATTTTTATTATATAATTATAATGGTTAGTTTTTCTTCAATTTTTTTTTTTTCCAATGTGTATAAAGGGGTGTGGAGAGAGGGTGGAGAGGGCGGTGTAGAGAGGGGGTGGCAGCCTCGGTTTAAGTATAAATATCAACAAGTTAAAGTTTACAACCAGAGAACTACTGGGTGTAACAGGAGAATGGTAAGAGAGAAATGAATAGTATTTAATAAAACACTTTTCAAATTTCTTATTTTTAAGATTTTGGAATTCAAAAGAAAGTTTTTTCTTTTTTCTATATTTTGAAAAGCGAGTCTCTACACATACATATCAAATAGCAAATTTTGAGTTTATCGAAAAAGGAATTGAGTCTTTGCCACAAACTTTAATTTTGCAAACCTCAAACCTTTGTAACATGATTGGTTTAAACCTTTGATATTTAAAGCTTAGATTTTTTGATCTAGAAGAATTCATAGTTTGAAATATCTAAGGTCTACGACATTGGGTCGCAGAGATATAGGAATTTGAAAATCAGAGTTTATGGCAAACCTTAATTCTTTTGACAATTTTTTGTTCTTTTTATGGGTTATTAATTTTAGAAATAAAAAGATTTTTATAAAATGAGTAGTTTATTATAAGAAGTACACAAAATAGGAGTATTTATACTTACAAATAAACCATCATTATAACTAAAATAAAAATTTACAATTTGACTTATTAAACATATATTGCTCTCTTTCTCTCTTTCATACTCTTTTGTCGTTTTGCATAAAAAATTAAATGAAATTAAACTCTGTAAGATTGAAGATGATTAAATTACAGAAAAATTGATGGAACTGAAATTGAATAAACCGACCGTATCTCGCCTTTGTTAGTCCAGAGATGGAATTTAAAGAATTTGAGCCGCGGTTTAAATCTGCCAAAACCCGGTTTAAATTAAGCGCCGGCTTAAATCATAAAACATTTGATACAATTTTAAGTGGAACCAACCATATTTAAGCCGCGGCTTAAATTTAAACCGCCGCTCAAATTCTTTAAATTCGGCCACAGGGTGACTTTTATTGACATTCAGACATTAAAATCTTGTTAATTAAAATATCCAGATTTTCTAATTAGTGAGAATCAGTTTTAGAGCCTTTTTTCATTAAATGTACTAAATCTTTTGGTTTTAATTTTTTTCCCCTCGCTTGTAATTTTTAAATGAAAGAGAAAGTTGAGTTTATTTTGATACAAAAGTTCAGATTTATATCCTCTTCATCAGTTCAGATCTATCTATAGTTCAGATTTGTTCGATCTATCTATAGTTCAGATTTGTTCGAGCTATCTATAGTTCACATTTGATCGATCTATAGTTCAGATTTGTTCGATCTATCTAAAGTTAAGATTTGTTCGATCTATCTATAGTTCAGATTTGTTCAATCTATCTATAGTTCAGATTTGTTGATCTATCTATAGTTCAGTTTCGTTCGATCTATCTATAGTTCAGTTACGTTCAATCTATCTATAGTTCAGATTTGTTCCATCTATCTATAGTTCAGATTTGTTTGATCAATCTATAGTTCAGATTTGTTCGAGCTATCTATAGTTCAGTTTTGTTCGATCTATCTATAGTTCAGATTTGTTTCCTCACAGAACTCAAAAAGTATTGGTCTGTCGAGGCTGTTTAATTTTTTTTACAATTTTATTTAATGTTTGTGTCTGGTTGTTTAAAGAAAACAATTGCTTTACAATGAAAACGAAATCATACTTTAGAGGGACAAATCAATACAAATCGTGTATAATTGTAAATTCAATTCAAGTACAGTTTCATTATTCAAAACTTTCAAGAAGTGATTTTTTTTGGACAATCCTTAACGACAGAAGATCATTTGTTTCAGCCAACAAAGTTTCACACTCGTTTCTGTTTCCAAAGAACCGCTCTAATTAAGATCGTTAATTTCTTTGAACGGGAAATCCTGTTTGTTTGAAAAACGAACTTACTCCTCGTTAACGTAGCCCATGCATAACAAAACAAGATATGTCTTTCTTAATTTTTGGTATAAAATAAAACTAGAGGAGCAATGAGATCTCACAAAATCGTACCGATGCAATCTATTAATTGGAGTGATGGAATTATTAAATTGGCAATAATAATCTAAATCTTGTAAATCGTATTTTTGAGAAGGTGAAAGACGCATGTAAGAGACATTAGTTTAAAAATTAGCCTGTTTGGCCATACACGCTTACAGCCCACTTTTGTCGCATGCAGTACAGTGATAATCAGACAACAATAGAATGGGAAGACGACATTATAGCCTTACTTAAGTGTATTTGATGTTGTTACAAAGCATTTAGTTTTACAAGACACTTAATTTAATTACTAATTTAGTGAAATGGGCCTGTTTACAGTAATAATTTCTGTTTCTCATGCTTAATAGACTTTTTAAGGTTATAACTTGTTTCTAAAAGTCGTCTTCCTATTATAGAGTTTTCTGGTTATCACTTAAGTAAATCCTCTTTTTAAGTAATTTTTATTCTGCATATATTTAAAACTTTTTATCGAATTTAAATGTTCAAAGAAAATTAAATAATTTAGTCAAACTTTGAAAACTTTTGTTTTGTTAAAACTAAAACAATATTTAAATTCTT